TCTGCTTCTGGCACTTTGACCAAGCCGGCTGCTTCTTGCTTCGTCTTCTTCTTCTTCAAGCTCTGGGCCATTTTTATGCCGCCTTCCTCAAGGACGTCTCGCTGAGATTTTTCACTTTTTAAACATTCCAGGTTTTCTTGCTGAGCTTTTAACTTTCTGATACTTTTCTTCTCCTTTAATTCCTTTTTTCTTTTTTTCTCTTTTGGTTTCTCATCAGTCTTTGTGATATTGTTTTCCGATGCCACAGGCATAATTACGTTTTTTACAGATTCGGTTTCAAGTGTTTCCTGTTGGAGAAATGATATATCACCACAACAAACCCAGTATTATATTAGTACATTTACTTCTGTTGTTTCAATAGCTGAAGCCCTCTAAATGAATTACAGCTAAAACCATTCCAAAGCAGAAAAATAGCAAAAAGAATAAAATGCAAACACAGGAACAATATAAGTTTACATAACAATTTAAAACATACTATTCCTACATGGAACTGGCACTTAAAATCAACTGATAACCAACAGCAAAAACATTTGAGGGAAGTGAGTTTCACTGAAATTAAGCTGATTCTTTCAAATGAGCAGGCATTTGAAAGGCAGAGTTTGCGCGACCCACCTGGCAGTATTTGATAAGAGTCAAGGAGACTGAAACCGCACACCTCACTCTTTTTAAAGGTTTTCTAACTTTCAACTGGAGATAGCTCACCAATTCCCAGCTACCCTCCCTGCATGGGAATAGCAGATCCTCTATTTATGCTCCATTTTCTGATATTTGTTTAAACTAATTTTTGGCTTTGCTCAGAAAATGAGATGAGGAGGAGGGCCTTCAGGAATAGCCAATGAAAACCTTCTCTGACTGAATAAAGGAAGCTAGGGCGGCAGGCGATCCATGTTTTTCATTTACTTGCTAGAGAAAAAAACATGCTTACCAACCTCTATATTCAGTCTCTCTTATCAGACTTTCAACACATTTTCAAAGGACAAATAGAACAATTTTTATCTGGCTTGAATCCTTCTCAAATTTCAAGTTTATTTCCTTTAATCTTCCAGTATTAAAGAAACCCAAATACACATACAAGTAACTCCTCAGTTGATGACAGTAATTTCCATAGTTAAGCAATCTGGTCGTAATGCACCACATTATGTGACCGCATAGCTTAACAACAGCAATCCTGGCACTTCCCATTGCCATTATACGAAACCCACTGGTCATCCTGAGCCAAGCATCCTCCTGCACTCTCCCAATGTGCTTATCACAATATATTCCAAATGCAGCAGTAACTGGCTTGCTTACCTTTCTTGTTGCTTCTGAAAAAATATCCCATACTTGATCCTGTAGAGTAGTATTGTGGATTTTCAAACTGTTGGCCATCCAGTTCTATTTAAGCAGAAAGGGGGGGGGGGGGGGGAGACTCTCTATTTAACCAGAACACAAGTGCATTTTCTGACAAAAGTAGTAAATCAGCAGAAAGCCACAACTACCTGTTCTTAAACTACTTCTTCCAGAATCTTTTAACAGCCAAATGTACAGAATTTCCAAATGGACTGCTATAATCTGGCCATGGGCTTTATCCCCTCGAGTGTACAGCACTCGTGATCAGCAGCCAAAGTGGAACCGTGTGTCCTTCTGACCATCCTGAGGTTGCCTGCAGTGGCATCTCTGCTCCGTAACCCCAGACATGTTCACTAATGGGGCCAGGAGGGCTGAAGCAGTGGGACCACTAAGAGGCACAAAGGTGTAATTAAATGGGGTTTAAACAAGTTAAAAAAACAAGGCCTCGGAATTTTCAAATTATTTGGAAAACGTGTTTTCCACAGAATAATTTCAGAAACACTGAACTATGTGGATTCTTTAAGAGAAGTTACTTTTGCTTTAAAGAACCATAATAAAAAAATCTGCCCTATACCAGGTCAGATTTGAGGCATAAATACTTAACTCATGAACATACCTGAAATTTGCGTTTCTTTCGTGGAATATTGTCATATGCATACATCTGTTGTAAAATATCCCGAACTTTGACATTAATGTTAGTTTCCTTTATTATTTCATGAATCTTCTGCAAATGAAAAGCAGGCTAATGTGACTATGTAATACACCAGTAGAACATTTTCCTATTGTCGCATTGAATTTTATATTGTGAATTGCTACAGGATTAAATATAGTTAAAATGCTGAAGTTCATGTAATAAATTGATATAATTCTATGCATAGCATATTACATTACTTGGTTTTATTTAATTTTACTTGGCCACCATTATAGAAAGAGTGGGGTATAACAATTTTAAAAAAATAAAAAATAAAATGCAGTTTGTGCTGTGCCCGGTCTACTTCACCTGAGTCCACTCCTGCTGCTTGACGTCCCCTTTGGGCATCTTGGCTTCATAATTCTTTCCTCCATACTTCTGATCTTCACTTAGGCACTTCACATGGGATTTATAATCATCATCCCTACATTGTAAGTGCAGATTTAAATAAGGCATTTTCCAGAGCTCTTCCCAAACATTTTGCTGAAATATATTAAAGCAGTTTAACTAACTGGAAAAACATTGGTAGGCCTAAGGTAGCTTTTTCCCCAACTGTTCCACAAGAGGGTATGATTGGAAAAAATAATAATAGTTTTTTTCTTATGACGTGCAATACTAGTTGGTGGGAAATTTTGCCTGCCTCCACTCAGCTGATGGTCTGCTACTCTGCTGTAAATATTTCAAAAATTGTGTCAAGGTTTTCTCCAGGGTAAAAAGGTTGGAAAAGGCTGGTCTTGCAAGAACTTGCTTGCCAGAGAGGCATTTAGAGAGTCACCTTCTCCTTATAGAATACTTCTCCAGGGTGGACCACCTGCCAACATATTTCAGTGCTGCCCAAATGCCAGGCAGGGGCTTGCAAGCAATGTTTCTCTGCAGCAACACCCCCCCCCCACTTTGCAGAGTGCCTCTTTTCCTAGAGATTAGATAAGCACCTTCATTATTGCTGTTGGGAAGCAGCTGAAGACAAGAGGATCTTTGACAAGAGGATCTTTGAGACCAAATGATCACCATTACACTTGCTTTGTAACTGCTGATAAATTTTGCTGTTTTTTTCAGTGGTTAAACACCCCCTTTTTTGCTGAAATCCAGCATTAAACAGATGCACTACTTGAAGAAGTAACCTCTGAGCATATGCTGAAATTCAAGATCATGTTCAAGTTAGAGATAATCAATTATCTAGGCTGACCTTAGGAAGTTTTAAATTTTTCCCCCTTCCCTTTCCAGATTTACCTTTTCTCAAAATAAATTATATTAATTCTCTTATTTCCCATCTCTGTCAATTTTCTACAGCTTGCCCACATTGGGCTCTATTAACCTTTTTGTTACTTTCCCAGATGTTCCTAGAGATTTATTCCCCTATAATCTGAGATACAGCGGATGTTTATTTATTTTATTTTAGCTGTTTTGCCTTGGCTATAAAGCAAAGCATGCCGATTGAGAGGGATAAGCTGTAGTTCCAATGCTTCTACTCTAACCCTCAGGTCAGGCTGGATGTTGGAGAACTCTTGGTAATAACACAGGGCCTTTTCCTTTTGTTTTTGGTTATCCCAGTCCTGCTCACAGTTCTGGAGCTCCCAGGCAGCCCACTAGCCAGGCCTTTTAACTTTGGTGCTCAGACAAGGCTGGCCTGATGCTGCAACTGCAGAAGCCTCTTGAAAAGCTTCCCTAAAAGACTCCCGGTGCCAAACAATGAAGACACAGGCTGGTTTCAACCTACCAGAAATCCTTCCCGCAATCCATGCAAGACAGACACTGACAGTTTCGGCACATATTCACATGCTTTTCCACCTGTCCCTTCTTCAGGGCTTCTCCGCAGGCATTACATGTGAAAAACACCATTCTGGAAAACTGTATCTGCTTCTTTGAAGTCTTCAACAAATCCTGGAAGTACATGGAGAACAGAATTAACTATCTGACATTGCATTTAATGTAGGGTTAGAAATTCTATTTCAGAGAACCAAAACTACCCAAGCACTACATACACACAAACTCAATGTAATCCGTTCTAATCTTGATTGCAGGAAAAACGATTTCAGCAATAGAGTAGTACCTGATCCTGTTGTTAATTCCTCTAACCCCCCCCCCCATACCTTTTACCTTAAGGTGTCTACCGTGGACCTTACGCGTTTCTTAAGAGGTCCGTAAAGGGGGCGTGCATAAGGGCAGCAGTGTGCCTATCTTCCCTGTCCTACTGTCTCCATTTATCTGTACTCTTTTTTTATGTGTTTATGGCTATGTTTGCTTATTTATATCCATTTATTTGTGCAACTTTTTCATGTATTTTCATACTTCCTTCCTTGTACCTGTTGACAAGTAAATAAATAACTAGAATAAACAAAAACATGATTAAAAAAAATGCTCTATCACGGAGCAGCCCACAGGGACCAGCATCTCCACAGGAGCTGCCAGCAAGTCTGGGAAAGTGTGGCGGAGGGGGAGCAACGCTGGCCGAAGAGCAGCAGGAAGACCCCCTCCCCCGACGGCCTCCGACGCAGATGCCCCTGCTTCCACACGCACATGCACCGTCCTGTCCCACCCGGAGGCCTCGCAGGGGCTGGGAGGCCTTTTCGGCCGTTGTCGGGGGTCCCGCGGCGCGCCCCCCTCCCCGCATGCCCTCATGAACCGGCCCCAGGTGGGAAGAGGCCGCCCGGGAGGGGGGGAAAACCCGCCTAGCAGGCGGAGCACGAACCGCTTGCGAGTGGAGGAGAGCCGCGTCTCGCAGGGGCGCTCAGAGCGGACGGGAGCCGAACCCCAGCAAAGACGCAGCGTTGGCGAGGCGCACCGGACGTCCCACTCTATGATCACGCTGGGCGACTTCCGGCCAGGAGTGGCCGACGTCTTGCCGCCGGGGCGGGGGGGGGAGGAGTCTCCATTGGGAAGCGTCTCCATGGCGTCGGCGCGCGGCTCTTCTCCTGCTCCTCCTCTCCTCCCCCCTCCGCGGGATCCGGCCCCGCCTGGCTGTGAGTCTCTCGCGGCGTTTTTCGGGCTTCCGTCCGCCGAGGCTCCGCCCCGCCTGCTTACCTGTGGCCGGGTTCCCTCGACTCCCCCAGTCGCTTCCGATGGGGTCGGCTGACACGTGTCCCTGCGTGGTTGTGGGGGGTCCCCTCTGGTGTCCTCCTGATGGAAATGACGCCGTTGGTCTCCAGCAGGGGTGAAACTCGGGTTTTTTTATTGCCGGTTCTGTGGGCGTGGCCTGGTGGGCGTGGCGTGGCTTTGCCGGTTCTCCCAATTACTCCCAATTTCCTTCTGCTGCCGGTTCTCCAGAACCAATCAGAGCCTGCTGGGTTTCTCTCCTGGTTTCTGGGCTTCCTCCCGTCTCCCTTGTAGGGAAATCCCCGAGCGGTTCTGGATGCTTGGCTCTTCCTCTGCCTTCCCAGGATAAGGAAAGGTCGGCTTCCATCTCGCCCATTGCACAGGTAGTCCTCCACTTATGGCCACAACTGGGCCCCCGTTTTCCCTTCCTGAGCAAGATTGTCCCATTTTACAATCTTTTTTTTATGCCACAGTTGTTGCTCAGTGAATCACTGCAGGTGTTAGTAATGTTGGAAGAAATGTCCTTCTGCGTTCAGGGGGAAAAAGAGACCGGAAGCATGGAGGCTGCTTGGAAGGATGGTTTAATGGTGGACAGGATCACAGGAGTTGAGCTCCAGAACAGAAAAGGGGGACCAGATGCTTCCAGATGTTGGGTGAAGAAGAAACAGAGAGCGATGTGCTTAAAGTCCCTGGCTGCCAGCCTCCCATGGGGCCATGCAGGGGCAACTCTCCAGGCTGTGTTTTGAGTCCAAGCTTGGTTGAGCCTTGCTTGTTCCCAGGTGCCCTGTGGTGAGATGGGCAAAGGGCTAATACTATCATGCTGTAATCCCATCACTCTGGAGCTGAAGGAGGGGGGGGGGTCTTTGTTATGTAGAATAGACTGACCCAGTCCTTTTAATGGCCCATTGACAAAGGTGGGGGCTATTAAGAGTGAGTCTGTTCCCTGCCTAAAAACAATGCTTCTCCATTTCTGACCCAGGGAAATATAATATTCTGCCTTTTTCAATATTTCCCAGGATATTTTATTCTTCTAGGAGAGGGGTGGGTGCTAACTTCCTACAGTAACAAAGGTTGTTAAATGAATTTGGCTTCTCCACTGATTTTGCTCGTCAGAAGCTCACAAAAGGGGACCGTGATAAATGAGTCGGTCGCCAAGGATCTGACGTTTGATCACGTGACCATGCGGGGATGATAGTCGTAGGGTGAAAAATGGTCATAAAGTCACTTTTTTCAATGATGATGTAACTGGATGGTCACTAATTAAACTGTTGCAGGTCAAGGACTACTTGAAATTCATTCAATGCACCCTTGGAATGTGTGTCTGAGGCCGTCTTATTTAATTCCCCATGAACAGCTGGTCGTCTCCAAGGCAGCCCCATCACACTCTCTGGTCTGTGGGAGGCGCCTCTTGGCTCTTCCCCAGGAGCCAAAGCTTCTTCTAGAGCCGGGATCCCACCCTTCCCTGTTCAGCTTCTTTCCAAGCGTTTTCTTGATGTGGAGCCTTTCTTCCTTGCGGGGGTCTTTCAGTTGGCAGAGTGGCTGCAGCCACACCTTTGGCTGCTTGGGCATCAACCCTTCCGACATATTTCATCTCGACTCTGTATCAACATAAAATTCACCAGTGCCTCTAATCGGGTGGGGTGGGGGGTGGACTGGGCTTTAACGAGGCCCTGGTGCCCCCTGTCAAAGGCTCGAGGCTCTTGGTTTAATCAGGGCATCAGCCGGGACCCCGTCAGCCATCTTTGGATAGTTGTGGCATTTTGTGGGACTCCTTTCTCCCTTATAGTTCACCACATCCTGCCTAGGCTGCTGCTCACGGCCAGGATTCATTCCACTTCTATTGCTGCTACCTTGTGTGTTTGCAGGCTGTTTCACTTATGCCACCTCTGACGTACCATCTCTACTTCCTGTAAATAAACGAAATGGGCACAGCTAGTCCTCAGGTTACTTTGATACCAGTTGATACCAGACTTGCCGTTGCTAAGCAATGCGGTCCTAAAGCGCAACAACATGTGACTGCATCGCTTAGTATTGAGGATCCCGGCAGTCAGGGTTGCTGTGGTAACCCCAGGGCTGCCCGGATCACTGCGGGAGGACAGGAGTAGCAGGGAAGCAGGCAGGGATCCATAGGAGCAACGTCCGACTTCCTGGTGGCTTCCCCACTGACGTTGCTTATGAAGAGCTAGCAGGGAACATGGGAAATCGCGATCATGTGACTACAGTTTGCCCCGCCCTCATAATGTTGCACTACCTGAGGACTATTCTAATTATGAGATGTTTTTGAGAGACTTTAGGAAGACCAAGATAGACTGTGTCTAGAGTTTGCCTTTGGATGGTTAAGAAAGCTCCTTGGTGGAAAAGTGAAATGGGGAAACTTGCCACTGTGATTTGGTTTGCATTTTCAAACAATATAACATTTAATCCTTTTGCATAGAGCAGCCCTGATGTACATAATTAGTACATGCTTACCAGTATAACTGCATCCCTAAAGTATTTTTTTTCTTTTTTAGGTAAAGTAAACACGCTGTAGAATGGATGCTTTTGCCAGTCACAGTTGTCACCTCCTTCAGCAGCTCCACAATCAGCGGATACAGGGCCTTCTCTGCGATTGTATGTTGGTGGTCAAAGGGGTTTCCTTCAAAGCACATAAAAACGTGTTGGCTGCCTTTAGCCAATATTTTAGGTATGTTAGTACAAACTACTTTAATGAATATTAAGTAAGGCGTGGGAGGCAGAACTTAACAAGAGTTATATATTTACAATCCTTATAGACTTCCCCAAGTCTGTAAAGTATAAACCCTCCCATTCCCCACCATCCAGTCAGAGCTGAAGAAGCTTCTTGGATGAGAAGCAAAATGTATTCACAGAAGGGGGGGAACCCACAGAAAGTCCACTTGCCTCCTGAAAAAACACTTCTGGGTCTAGTTCTGCAAGTTTTCTGATAGGAAAGATATTATTAATTAATGTGGCCATACACAAATGCAGAATTAAAATGCAAAATATCAAGTCGCAAAGCTCTGTTCACAACGTAAGTTACGTATACTTAGGTTGCATTCAGATCCAGTGATTTCCAACCAGTGTTGCTACAACATGGCTGTCTGTTGGTACCACCAGCAATACTACAAACTCATCTTTTGTTGAAGGTGTGCACTCTGAAAATGGAAATTATACAGCAGGATTAAAAGATGACATTTAAATGGTTAATATCGTAGGCTGATTGCAAATTTTATTAAATATGTTTGCTATTTTTAAAAAAATGCTGCTTTCAACAGTATGGTTGTGCAATTATCTAACCAAATTTGAGCAAGAGTTTCAAAACATAGATGAATATGTGCACTTTTATGTTTACTTCTCACATTTTTGAACCGCCAACCTCCTCAGAAAGGGACTCTGAGCAGTGTACCATAAAATGTTAAAAATATCAAAAAGTATATATAAAAGTTTTGAAAAACAGAAAAAAATAGTTTAGAAGGAAGGAGGTGAGGGTGATTTAATGCTATGGAAAGGAGTTAAGAGGCAAAGGGAGGTTTTCCTCTGGGCGAGGCCAGGGAGCCATGGGTGGGGGAGATGTAATGGGATGCCATGTAATGTTCATGCTATAAAGAGGACGTGAGGATAAGCGGATGTTTGTAATTCTGCTTTTCTTTCCTAGGACCCTCTTTCAAAATTCCCCAAGCCAGAAGAATGACGTTTTTCATTTGGACATTAAGAATGTGGGTGGCATTGGCCAGATCTTGGATTATATGTACACTTCACATCTTGACCTCAACCAGGATAATATACAGAACTTGCTGGACGTTGCCCGGTGCTTGCAGGTGCAGAATATTTTGAATCTGTGTCACTCCTTTTTAAAAACCTCCCGGTCCGTAGAGCAACCAGCCAGTCTGACCAGCAATGGTGCATTTTCATTGCAAAATGCTTTGGCGGCCGATACCCACTGTGGACACTGGGATGGGCTCCACCTTTGCACCACTGCTGCTTGTAAAGCCTTGGATGACCAGCCACCTGGGTCACAGCCGTGTGCGCCTCACAGCTCCTCAGCTGAGGGAGCCAAGCCAAAGCAAGGCCCTGTGGGCCCTGGGAGGGCCGATCTGTCCTTCAAACTCCCCAATGGCCATTACAAGCTCCGAAACTTCTACAGCAAACAGTTCTGCAAAGAGACTATTCGCCCCAGCAGCGAAGGGTTACTAGAAGTGCCCCCTGATTTTGCAATCTCTCCAGCACAAGACGCTGCTCAGGAGGCTACTTTGGGCAGCCTCGCCCAATGTGCTTTGGAGCCGTCTGATTGCGCCCCCCTGCCCCCACCCTTTCTCGCCCAGCCCTTACACGGCTGTGCTGAGGATCAACACGCAGAGGGCGCCTCCGTACAGCCAGCCAAGCCGATGAGGCCCAAGAAAGCCATCCACCTCCAAAGGCTGAATCTGCTCCAGTCCCAAAGGTCTCCTGAGCCGCCTTCTGCAGGTGATCCTGACGGAGCCGCTGCGAAAGGAAATGAATCAGGAAGTCGGAGCAGCACAAAAAGGACGGCCACGGTCGAGGTTCCTAAAGGGAAACATCCCAGCGGGATCCTGAGTTCCGAATGCGTAGAACTGGAGCCGTCCCGGGAGCCGCCTGGGCCAGAGAGCCCCTTCGATGTTTCCCTTCCGGAGAGGCAGTATCCGTGCGCCTTATGTGGAAAGGTTTTTAAGCATCCGAGCAACCTGGAGCTCCACCTGAGGTCTCATACAGGTACGGTCAGTTAACACGGCAGGCCAGCTGTCCAGGGACGGCACGGGGAAGCAGCCAGCATGTAGTCTTGGCAGCTGGAAAGGCAGCCGCGGCCCAGAGTGGCTCTGGGGCCACCATGACCACCACGCAAGTCCATCAAGCGGCAATCAGGTTTCATGGGCCTCATCGAATAGCCTTCATCCATGGGAACGTGCTGAAGCTTTCATGTTTTCCCCCCAGTAAAGAAGGTCCTTTTTGTGATAAGGGCCAGTCGTAACACTTATAAAGCCATGATGGATGGCCTGGTCTCCTGGACAGAACTTTTTGCATTAAAAAAATTACTCCGCTTTGCCAGAGTAGTTGATGCATATTTAATGTGCTGCCATTTACAGCCATTTGGAAGGGAAAAGAAAATGGTTTGTAAAAAAAAGATTTTTTTTTCCTCCTTTATGATCTTCCGGTTATCATAGAGATGCTAATGTTGTGCTGATAGGACCTGTTTACTTCAGTGACCATGATTTTATTTGGGATCCATCTGTGCCACTTAGTTGCAAATCCCAGCTTTATGGTATAGAATTTCAAAATAGCAATTTTGTATCCACTTTTGTATCTCTGCATGACCAGCTCCTGGGTGGACTTCAGAGAATGACGCAAAATTAAGCTAATTTTTCATTAAATCTTATTAGTATAAAATAGTATTAATCGGTGCATTAAGGAGAATTGTGAATATAAAATATGTTGACTACAAATGTCCTCTTAGTTATTTTTATGTTGACTTGAAGACAAGTGTTCATGTTTAAGTGCCTTCAATTTTACCTAGTTGTCCGAAGTACAAATAGAATTGCTTCTTCTTTTAGGTGAAAAGCCTTTTGAATGTAACATTTGTGGAAAATGTTTCTCACAGGTAGGAATTTTAATATTTTGTATAATATTCTTTTACATTTAAGTTTATTTTTGTTTATATGCTACCTAGTCCTTTTCTATTGATCAAGGAATAGATTGTACGCAGTATGATTTTATGGCAATTCTGCAAGAATCACAAAATAAGATAAACACTTTTAAGAAACATTTTTCACCAGAAAAAAATAAACATGGTTTCTGTTCACTGTGATTGATGCTGCTAAGGAATCTTATCTTCCCTAAAGTGAAATTTTAGAAATTCTTATGAACATTTACCATTTTCAGATATGAACAAGTTCTGGATTCTAAACGTACAATATTTTGAGATAGAATGAATTCCTAATCCCTGAGAATTTGGTTTGGTTTGGTTTGGTTTATTGGATTTATATGTCACCCTTCTCCCAAGGACTCAGGGCGGCGTACAACATTTTTTAAAAAAAAACATATTACAAAAGATTTAAAAAAAATTAGATAGAATATCCAAAAAAACAAATCCGATTAAGATTAACAATAACATTTTAAAAAATCGATTAAAATTAACAATAATCATTTATTTTATTTTATTTTATTT